ATATATTATGTATATTATGTATTATATATATATATATATTTATGTATATATATATATAAATTACATATATATACATAAGTCTATGAAAATATAAAATATCAAAAAAAAAATGATAAATGACATAAATTAGAAGGTGTTGGAGAGTATCTTGAGAGACAAAAACATAGCAATACTCTCACGTACTGGTAATATCGGTATTTAGAATTACGTAACCACTTGGAAGTTACCAGGAAGTCTTATTCCGTGTTTGTAGATACGCATACACGTACACGTACACGTACCCATGCAGAAATACGTAAACTAACCTTAACTCTCTCTCTCTTTTTGTTTCAAACGTGTATGAGTTAGAGTAATAGATGAATGGCCACCTATCAAGCTACGGGAATCCCGCGAAATACGATTTTCTAAGAACATTAATTCTACTTGTATTTGATAATAATAACAAGACAAGCATTTAAAAGTTCTTCTTCTTATTATTGTTTGCATCGTTAAAATATATACAACGTTTTTGTTATCCTCATTAGAAGAAATCAATGATCACTATATTCCTTATACGATTCTTAAGTACTTAGAGTTCGTGAGAATCTGATCTTTCCCTTTTCATTAGTAATATAAAATAATACTTTCACCGTTAGTTGAAAAATCTCCCCCCCCATAAAGAAAAACCAAGAAAATAAAGAAACTCTTTTACAAATGTTTTAACGATTAATATTTTCGAATATAAATATATTAAACATATATTATATATTAGTATTACATTTGATACTATATATAGCATTTTAAGGGGGGTAGGGTATTTAATTATTTTTTCGATTTTTTGAAAATTTTAGAAGTAAAAGTACCATATTTCAGGAATATTCTGTGAAAATCTCAAGTCGATCTGAGAAAAATTTACGGAGATACAGCATTTTTTGTATGATTTATATTACAAAAAAAAGGATTAATTAATAATTTAGTCTACAATATATCAGGTCAGTTCAAAAAAGTTTGTGCACATTATTAGCATGCAATGTCGATTTTGATAACGATGTTCTTAAAAATCTTGTGGAGTTAGAGCCACATTTAACAGTAGATCAGGATCGGAGAAAAGATGCACATTCATCTCATGGGACAGTCTTTCGCCATTTAAAGGATAGAGATTAGAAAAATATCCAAGCTTGGAAAACAGGTACCACACGAATAAATGCACACGAACTTTTGGACTGACCTGATATAAATATTTTAATATTTAATATTAATATTTTTTATTTAATTTTAATAATTTAATTTTTTTTTTACATATATA